CTGAGACACTCAACAGATACAGGAACTGACTGGAGAAGCTCCCTGTAACCTGGCAGCATGTGCTTGAGCCCAGAACCACACCCCAGCGCCCCCCACCCCGTGCTGGGCTGCACCCCCAGAGCGTGAGCAGCAGCTCAGGGAGGGGATCCTGCCCCTCTGCTGTGCTCTGGGGAGACCCCCCCTGCAGCCCTGATCCAGCTCTGGGGCAGCAGCACAAGAGGGACCCGGAGCTGTTGGAGCGAGGCCAGAGGAGGCCATGGAGATGCTGCGAGGGCTGGAGCAGCTCTGCTCTGGAGCCAGGCTGAGAGAGCTGGGCTGGGTCAGCCTGGAGAAGAGAAGGCTCCTGAAGGGGAGACCTTAGAGCAGCTCCAGTGCCTGAAGGGGCTGCAGGAAACCTGGAGAGGGGCTTGGGACAAGGGCCTGTAGGGACAGGGCAAGGGGAATGGCTTGAACCTGCCTGAGGGGAGACTGAGCTGAGCTCTTAGGCAGAAGCTCTTCCCTGTGAGGGTGCTGAGGCGCTGGCACAGGGTGCCCAGAGAAGCTGTGGCTGCCCCATCCCTGGCAGTGTTTAAGGCCAGGTTGGACACAGGGGCTTGGAGCAAGCTGCTCCAGTGGAAGGTGTCCCTGCCCATGGCAGGGGTTGGAACTGGATGAGCTTCAAGGTCTCTTCCAAACCAAACCAGTCTGGGATTCTGGGATTCTATGATTTATTTTGGTGAGCAATTGCTCATTCTGCAAGTTCTGCATTTCTCACTGTCATCTTAAAACAAACCAAAACAAAATGCAAGAAGCAGACTTCCACCAGGACTGCAAAATCATCTCTCTGTCAATCTTTTGATCCACTGAGCTAGTCAAAACTGCTCCTCAGAATAACCTACTTGCTTATCTGTGATTGCATTTGAAAGACAGCATGTCAATAACACACCTAAATGAAAACTAACAACTGTCCTACACGTTGGCTTGTCTCCATCAGATTATTGAAGGCAAAACTCTTAGTGTAGGTATATAAGTCAGTGGCGATCATGACTAAATAAGACGAGTGGTGCTAATTTCAGCACAGCTGAAGTTCTCTGTTGTAGAGCTGCAGACATGTGATGGCAGGCTTCACTTTCTCACAAGAAACATCCAAAGACCTCCTCACTCTGTCACTGCGGAAACAGCAAAATCAGCAGTGTTTTGGCTCTTTAAAATGAACCACATTTCTGGTCACAACTAACCCAGAAAGTGCTGGATTATCTGTTGTCATTTGGGTGGTTTTGGTTTTGTGTTTTAAGGCTGGTTTCTGATTTTTGAAATATCAAATGTTTTGGGTCCAAAACATTCAGCTCTTTTCATTCCCTAGCTGAAATTCTGAAGTCTAGACATAATTCATCTCTATAATCTAGGTAATTTAAGAGTAGCTAGAACACAGTGTTGAAGAAAACCACATGGAACAATCTTGCACTGTGAAAGAATGTGCCAGAAGACCTAATAACTCTTTTCTTTTTCTATTTTGTACTGGTTTAGAGTGCTCATTACAAGCACAAAAATCATTCCCTCAAAGCAGGAATGATGCCTGGTGCAAAGGCCTAACCACTAATATTAGCATCTTGGACTACAGGAGAGAAAACCAATTAGCTGAAATTCTGCAACTGGCACTTCTTTTACTCTAAATATTTAATAAAAATGTTTTTACTTTGATCTCATGGGAGAAGAAGGAAGGAGAAATAACCCTGAAAAAAGTCACGAGTCCATATATTCCAAGATGTGCCATGTCCTACCCTGTGGAACTGAATATTCAGGATCAGTATTTTCTTCCCCAACCTAAAAACTGAGCCATGTCTCAGGATTGCAGGAACAATGTGAGAAACCTCCTTGCAGCGCTTCTGCAGAGCAGCAGTGCTCTTGGGTTTGAAAAACAACTTTGCTTTTGCTTTCCTGGAAGAGAAACTGTAAGCTCTCAGTGTCACAATTTTACTGTTCCTGCACTGGCACGGAAACTGACTCCAGAAAATAAAGATTGCTGGTAACAAAAGAAGAGACACCTCAAGTCATGCCAAGGGTACACCCAGCCTGGTACCTACCTCCCACCACGGCCACTACCGGTCATCCAGAGTATAAGCAAGCAAACATGTAGTGATACCTCTTCCATCCTCAGCAAAATGCAGCTTGTGTCTGTCCTAAGCCAGAGATGATGTCTCTTCCCTTAAATGGTGTCTGCTAGATCATTTCTTCCATGACTTAGTCTTAGGGTAGCATTCACAGGGTCCTGCAGCATGTTCCACCTCGCCTTAGGCAGCCTCTCTTTGTGCCTGGTAGAGGGAGGTAGAGGGACGCAGAAGGAACAAAGCAGAACCACAACTACAAACAACCCAGCACCAGACCTAGGAATTCGCAACCTGGCAAAATGACTTTTTTCTGTCGTGTTCTACATTTATTCCCTATATTCCCTTTGTCTGTGTCTGCAGTGATGTGTGTAGATGCATCTAGATGTTTAAAGAAGTATGTGCGGCCCTGGTCTAAAAGAGCTACAACATTGCTTTAAGGAATGAGGGAGGAATCACAGCAAAACCAGAGGTACCACCCTGGAAAAAGAGTGCCAGAGCCCCCAGCTTCAGCAACACGGAAGCTAAAAATAATGATACATCTCTGTTACTCGTTCCTCTTTTTCCTACTGCACCCACAGACCTCCCAGTATAATATGAGCATCTCGGAGGCAACAGCAACTCAGTGGCAATGCTGGGTTGGCGGCCACAAACCCACTTGATGGCAATTCCCACAGGGCAGGGAAGCATTCTGGCCACCACTGACAAGAGCACTTCAGACCTGCAGAGGCTTTTCCAGATAATAGAATTAGCCTGGCAAGAGATGGTCAATGAGTATCTGTCCATAATAAAGTACAGCAGAAAGGCAATAATACTGTAATGCTGCCATTGACAGCAAAATAACCACAGTACGATATGGAACACATAAAAGCATTTGTATCATTTAAAAATGTAAGAGGCTGAATTGAAGAAGGCTTCTTCTTAGCTTCGATATATAGCTGCACTTTTCCCCTACCCTGTGCACATTTGCCCTTCTAATACACAGAGTATTTGAGCGACATGCTGCTCTTCCCAAGATGTAAGCCAGGCTCCTACAGCTCCTTTTCCAAGTGTGCTGCTGAACCTCCTGGAGCATGGGGTGGAATAGTTCTCCCTGCTCAGGGTGAGATTGTCAGAGAGGGAAACCAGTCATAGAATCATAGAACCATAGAATCAACCAGGTTGGAAAAGACCTTTAAGATCACCAAGTCCAACTGTTCCCCAGCACTACCAATGCCACCAGTAACCCACATCACTGAGGGCCTCATCTATGCAGTTTTTAAACCTCAAAACATAGGAAAAGCAGAGGGTGTTTGAGTTTCACAGCTGTGCTTCAGAAAGCTGCAAGACCCTTTAAGAGCTTACAGGCTGTGCTGGGGAACTTCCTTTAACTTCTCTTTCATTCATGTGTTGATTCAAATGGAAATCTTGCCACGTTTTCTTTTCATTCTCTGCAAAAGGAATGTGTGAGGCCTGAAATTTTACAAAGGGGGGTGCACTCAATCAAAGTAGCATGAAAACTTGCCACCAACAACACCCACCTAACTCAATACATTCATAGTAACAAGTGGATATTCAACGAAGGGGAAATCTGCACAGGTGGTGAAGGCTGTGACAAACCTCCAGAAAGCAGCAGGACAATGAGAGGTGATGAAGGAGCATGACACCCAGCAAAGGTCTAGCAAAGCCCCATGTGCCAGAAGCATCTCTGCTGGTCCTACAGTGGATGCATCAGCCACAGGCAGGCATAAGCCATGCCCACATCCTCCGTACTCACTTCTTACTCCAGCTGAGCACCTCCCTGAGAACAGCTCCACAGCTTTGGTGTATTTGGCATGGAAAAAGTTCTGTTTGTTGCTCTGTTTGGAGACCTGGCTGAGAGAGACCAGGTTTGTAGCAACCAGCAGCATTAACTGGGGGTGGATTTCTAGTCTGAATGACGAATTTATTTTTAATTTTTTTTTTTTAAGTTCATGAATTCCTGGGTGTGCCAGGATCTACATGGTCAAGATTAGCCAAGGCAGGAACAGAAAGGCTGAGCGTAAGATGGGAATGCCACTTCTAACTTCACTTTAATTGTGGGCAAACCCTGCCTGACAAGACAATGAGAAAATAAAAGCAGCCAAATACACATGATTTTACAAAAGAAAAAACATCAAGAACTAGTAACATTAGCATCAAACAGAGCACCAGGGTCCACACCTGTGCTCGAGATGTTAATTCTCTAAGCAGGTTCCCCGGAAGTTGTTTTGCATTTTTAAACTTAACTGCCATATTACATTCAAATTAAATGCACAGTTAAGCACATTCAGTGGCTGCAATTTAAAGCACTGCTACACTTTTAGCTCAAACACGTTTGCTCATTTCTATGAGCACAACAAAATCAGGTCATTGATAAAGTCTGTTAGAATTGCGTAAGCACATTAAGTCAGGGAGCCTGTCGGAAGAAGGGCTCCCTGTACTTCAGGAGCACCCAGACCTACTTGTGCTGAAGCCAGGGAAAAACCCTGTCTACACTGCAATGTGCAGGGAGCCAGGCTGAAAGAGCTGGGCTGGGTCAGCCTGGAGAAGAGAAGGCTCCTGAAGGGGAGACCTTAGAGCAGCTCCAGTGCCTAAAGGGGCTGCAGGAAACCGGGAGAGGAGCTTGGGACAAGGGCCTGTAGGGACAGGCCAAGGGGAATGGCTTGAACCTGCCCGAGGGGAGACTGAGCTGAGCTCTTAGGCAGAAGCTCTTCCCTGTGAGGGTGCTGAGGCGCTGGCACAGGGTGCCCAGAGAAGCTGTGGCTGCCCCATCCCTGGCAGTGTTCAAGGCCAGGTTGGACACAGGGGCTTGGAGCAAGCTGCTCCAGTGGAAGGTGTCCTTGCCCGTGGCAGGGGTTGCAGCTGGAGTTCTAAGGACCTCCCAACCCAAACCATGATTCTATGAAAACTGCTCACCTATAGCTGCCCGGAGCTCCCACTGGCTCCTCATCCACCTGTACTCCTGCTTCAGGCTTGCTGGTAGCCACAGCTCTGCCTCTGCCCAGAGCCAGCTGCCCTGAGGGGCTGCAGCCCCCTTGCAGTGAACACCGCCACCCATGTCAGGGCCAGACCCTCTATGACCTTCTGTCATCAAGTTAATGGGATGAAGTTAATTCGAGTCAAAAAGGTTTTGAAATGATGCTGTGATCTGCAGGATCAAATTTAAAACCAAAGCTAAGTGGGGAAAGAAAAGGAAGCAAAAAGCTTTGACTGGTTTTTCATTCCACTCTTCAGTGTATTGCCCTATTCCATTAAAACACCACTCTCTTAATTTTCTACCCAGTCAATTGACATCTGCCCAGAGTCGGTTTTTCTTTGAGGACCAGCATCTTCAAACAGAACTGCCGTGCTGTACACTTCCCTCCTAGCAGGGATGCTTGCCCAGCCGGCAGCACCCCAAGGGCGCCCCAGTAACCCGAAAAAACCCATCAGTTAGCGGCAGTGCCTCCTATTCACCCGAATTAATTAAACCCCGGCGAGGCTCACGCAGCGAGGGGCTGCCCGGGGACCCCCGGCAGAGCCGCTGCCCCGAACTGCTGCCGGGCTCCAGCAGCCCCCTGCTGAGGCACCGGGGGGGCCGGCCAGGGTGGCTCTGGGCAGGAGCTCCCCTGCTGGGACACCCATCACCGGGGATGGCAGGGCCGGCCTCCGCCCCGCCTGACCCCGCACCTGCGGGGCGGCCACCATAGCCCTTGGCCGCAGGAGCGGCCGTTCCCCGCCCGACACCGGGAACCCAGCCCCGGCAGAGCCGCGCCCGTGCCGCCGGGACCCCGCCGAGCCCCGGGCCGGCTCCGCGACACTCGCCCAGGGCGTTGTGTCCCCGAGAACTCAGAGTGGGGGCGAGAATCCCCCCCTGCCCTCCGGGGCCGCAGGGACCTGCCGCGGAGTCCGCATGGGAAGGGGCAGCGGGTGCCCTGCCTGGGGAGGGGCTCCGCGGCTGCAGGAGCGGGCGGGGAGGTAACGCAAGCCCTGCCCGGGTCCCGCACCTCTCCCTCGAGGACGCGCACCTCGGTCCAGAGATGCCGCATCCCTACGCGGTGGGCGGGAGGCGAAGGTCCCGCACCCTGCCCTGGGCCCAGCGCTGCCCTCGGTGCGGCGCAGGAGGAACTTGTAAGAGGAACGATTGGGGACCGCGCGGGGCCGGGGCCGTTCTGCGCTCGTACCTGTGTATCCGTGCGCGCCGCCGCTGTCCCGCCCGGGCGCGGCAGTCAGCGGCACGTCCAGCCCCGGCGCCGTGCCCGCCGGCATGGCCCCGCCGAGCCGCGCCAGGTGCAGCCGCGACGCCGCCACCCGCCGGGCCGAAGGGGGCGGTACCCCGCGGGAGGTGCTGCCGCGGCCCCGCCACCCCGAGCCGGGACCCCGCCCCGCGGAGCCGGAGGGGGAGGAGGAAGGCGGGAGCCGAGGCGCTGCGGGGCCGCTACCCCCCTCGTTGCGGCCCCGGGGCACCGGGCAGGGCCGTGCTGTGACACACGCACCCGCGGGGGCTGCTGCCACCGGCACCTGGGGCTCGGCCCGGTCACACACGGCTCCCCCGGAGCTGCCTGGCTGGGATGCGGCTGCCTGCTCCCTGCTCCCCCTGCACCCTTCCCGCTGCCTGCACCTCCTGCACCCTTCCCGCTGCCTGCTCCCCCTGCACCCTTCCCGCTGCCTGCTCCCCCTGCACCCTTCCCGCTCCCTGCACCTCCTGCACCCTTCCTGCTCCCTGCACCTCCTGCACCCTTCCCCCTCCCTGCACCTCCTGCACCCTTCCCGCTCCCTGCTCCCCCTGCACCCTTCCTGCTGCCTGCTCCCCCTGCACTCTTCCTTCTCCCTGCACCTCCTGCACCCTTCCTGCTGCCTGCCCTGCCTGCACTCCCCCTCTGCTGCTGGCCCTGCCTGCCCCCTCTCAGTTGCCTCTCCTGCCTGCACCCCACCCCACTGCTTGCCCTGCCTGCACTCACTGCCTGACTTGCCTTCAGACCCCCTCCAATTGCCCTGCCTGCACCACCCCGCTGCCTGCAACACCCCGTGCCTGCCCCTGCCTGCTCCTTGCCTGCACTGCTTGCATCTCCCTGCTGCCTACCCTGCCTGCTTCTTGCCTGTTCTGCCTCACCCCACTGCCTGCCCTGCCTGCTGCCTGCCCATGGCCCCAGTGCAGCCGTGGCCTACTGCTGTCTGTGCAATTATATGCCAGGAGTCACGTCTCTTGCATACCTGCAGCTCACGGTCTTCAAAGCTGCGCTTGTCACCAGAATCTGAAACTAAACTCACTGGGCAGTGCCAAGATCCAGCATCTTCTTACCAAGGACCTGGGTGGCACACACCAACATGCACAGACTATCCAGTGGAATCCCACTGCCTTGTATTCACCTGGGGTGTGTATTGTACCTGTCGCATCCTGGTCTTACCCAGGCAGCATTACCTCCAGCGAGGGAGTTTGGGTCTCAGTAGTGAGTGATCTCAGGGAGACTGTTAAGTTGCTGACACTGGCAGTAGGTTCAGAAAAGTACTTCAGTGGTTTGCACTGTGTGGGGGTTGGACTAGATGATCTTCTGAGGTCCCTTCCAACCCTTGGGATTCTGTGATTCTGTGAAAAGCAAAAGGAGGAACAGCAGGCTCTTCTGAAGGAACACTGCTCTTTGGTGCTGAGCATATGGGCTGGGGCCCACACTGAGCACTGTGGTTATTAACACTCACTCTGCTTGATTTACCCTCTCATTACTTTCTTCACATGGAACTAGAAGAGAAAAATGTCTGCAGGAGCAGACTGGAGAGATGAAATTCCAAGATGCACCAAACCCAAACAGACTAAGAAAAACCTCCGAAGGCTCTTCTGGCAACATCAAATGGAAAGGGATAGTACACATGGGTAGTGGTGATACAGCTACTCTGCTACTTGACATAGCACTCTTGCCTGTGAGCTTATTTGGCAGGGAGTCCATAGAAATATTGCAGACATAAACGACTGCTATTTCCATCTCTACAACAAAAACATATTTTAAAAGTAATACTTGGTCACATTATAGCAAACTAACAATGCTTTTTACAATGCTGCAGCTCATGAATTAGCTCTGCATTTCCAGTCATGCCAAATGCTCATAAGTTTAAAGTCAACAAGAAACTATAGCTTCTGCAATCAAGTCCTTCATGTCGGTGAAGCCAGCAGAATGCCAAAGACAGATAAGTGATTTTTTCCATAAGCTGCTGTTACTACAACTGTTATTATACAATTAGAGTTGAACAAACTGTGTTGCAATTCAAATCTTTCCTTGCAGGCACTCACAGAAGCAAGTTCAGAAGCAGCATCTGAATCCCACTTACCTCATGTCAACATTTAGTTTTCCTTTGTAATGGGAAGCATTACCTGACAGAGGTGGGTTTGCTTAGTGTGCCCTGGAGCATCACAGGCAAAGGGCAGCCCTGGCTCTGGCTGTAGCCTCCCAGAAGGTGATACATCTCAATGCCTGCCATCAGGGCAAGTCCTGCTTATCATGTTAACGAAGTGGCCAATCTCATTGACCCAGTGTTTACAGTCCTTGCTTAAAATCCAGCCACAGTAAAATGGAATTTTGCCTAAGAAAGGCTGCTGTCATCTGCCATCATCAACAACTGTGACATGATTTTGCTTTTAAAGCTGCCCCTCCCACACAAATACATTTTGAATTTAGTAAAAAAAACCCTTCATCGGTGTACTGGGAACAAACACAAGTTAAAAAGGTGAGGGACAGAAGAGGACAAAGAGTGCATTTTGAAAATTAGGCGAGTTTCTATGCTGCAGCCCAGTTTTTCTCTGCTGGACCCCTTATTTCACCATCATCACCAAGGAGGCTGTGCAGCCCCAACCAGACACTCCTTCCCTTTGTGTAGGGATTGTTTAACTGTTGGATTTCACTCAGCTGCCCTAAGGCACTGTCATTCTTCCAATTGCTGTTACTAGGGCTCACTCAAGGCTTGCCAAAGGCAAATCCTGCTGAAGAACCAGTGCGGTTGGATGGGGCCTGCTGAGCCCTTGGCAGCGGGGCCTCGCTGGCTGCAGGCCCAACCATGGCAACTTCCACAGAATCCCAGCCTGGTTTGTGTTGGAAGGGACCTTAAAGCTCATACAGCTCCAAATCCTTCCACAAGGCAGGGACCTCTTCCACTGGAGCAGCTTGCTCCAAGCCCCTGTGTCCAACCTGGCCTTGAACACTGCCAGGGATGGGGCAGCCACAGCTTCTCTGGGCACCCTGTGCCAGCGCCACAGCACCCTCACAGGGAAGAGCTTCTGCCTAAGAGCTCAGCTCAGTCTCCCCTCTGACAGGTTCAAGCCTTTTTTATTATTACTGTTTAAGCATTCTTAAGGCTCTGCAGCCCTCCAGCAGCAGGAAGCTGATCTCTGGCTCTCTCCCCCCTTACCACCCACCAGCCCCACCATCACCACCTCCTCCTTACCCCCTTTCTCTCTCTCTGTCCCCAGCCAAGCACCAGCCCCTCAGCCCTCAGGCACCAAAACTTGTTTTTGCCACCTTTGCTCAGAGTTATTGAATAAGCGTCAGTATTAGTGCTTAAAGTCCTCTGTGGGCTCAGCAATTAGGCTCCTGAAAGGAAAACTAGACCCTTAGAAAGGACAGTGAAATAATCTGTTGGGTGGTAAGAACTGTTCCTGTCCCCAGGGTACTCCTGAATTAATGGTGCACCACTGCCCGGGGGAACTGGTTTCACTCTGCCCCTCAGCTTCTCCTCCTCCTCCCAGCCATAGGTTTCACCCCTGCCCTTCCACTGGCTCTCACAGCACGGTGTGCCAGAAAAAACTGCTAAATCAACAAAACCAGGGGAAGAAAGTGGCCTCTGTCCTCTGACCTTGGCAGGGGTCTGATACCCAGAGCCAGGCTTTGTGAAACTGGGATCTGAAGCCCTTACCTTTTCTTTCAGCTACAAGCTACTGATGGCTTCAGCTACTCTCTGTGTGGCCCACGGTGTGCCTGGGAGAGTGCATTGTAAGATGAAATCAAGGCTGCTGCATGGGGCAGCTCTTTAAGGAGCCTCCCAGAGAAGAAATGAGTCAAAGCACACCTCCATCAGGCTGCCACCTTTGAGCCTCTGTGGCAGACCACAGCACGCTCTAGATCCAACCTCTTTGAAAGAGCAACAGGAGCCAGACAATTCATGATCACTGCATTGACCTCAGGCAGGTGAACTGGGTAAAGGGACCTTCTTAGAAAACTGCCTTTGAGGAAGAGCCAAGAGAGTCAAATCCTCCTAAACAGACCAGAGACTGTTGGTGTCCACTGTGCTGGAGGTGCAGGACAGACCTGCTTGTCAGCAAGGACTTGAGAATGATCAGGAAGGAAAAGCTGGAAGGACTGAGCAGCAGAGAGAAAAACTTGTTAGAATTAAGTAGGTATCCTTTTGAAAAATCTGAAGATGAGCCCAAATGAGGAAAGTAGAAAATCTGGCTGATGAAATGCAAATGGCACAAGAAGCAGGCCAAAAGTGGAAGAACAATGTTCAAAAAGCATCAAAACCAAATCCCAAAGATGTCTTGTGACAGGCAGGAAGTCTGTCTGCCAGAGAGCCAGTGGGGTTGATCAGAATCTGAAAGAAACATCCAGATAAAACAAGGTCATAGCAGAAAGGCTAGATTAATTCTTACCTTACCCCAGAAGAAAGTATGGAGGAAAGCCAGAGCTCCTCTTTGAGAGGTGCACAAGATGGTCTATTGATAAAGGATGTCATGGAACATGCAAAGAACAAGAGCAGGTGGCATTCAGCAAGAGCATAAAAGAAACAATCAAATTCATTTTTAATGATGTTCATAACCTCTCACCTAAAATCTTCTTCATTAACCAAGGTCTGAAATAGAGAAAATGCAACAGCAGCTTTTTTAAGGATTTCTTTCAGAAGAGACCTCAGAAACTACTGGTTTGTAAGCCTGGAATCTGTACCCACCACAATAATAGAAAATGTTTAAGCAAATAACATCAAGGAACACATCAATAGATTTAGTGTACTGAGGACAAGACAGCAAGGGCATTATAAGTAAGTTATATCTCAAAAATCCTCTGGATATGTTTAAAAGAGTCAACAGCCCAGAAGATAGGGAAAATCTAGTTCTTATTTTCTACATGGCTGTTCATAAAAGTGCTTTCGGCAAAATCTCTTCTCAAAGGACATTTAACAACTATGGCACAACAGGAAAGGACCTTGCACAAACAGAAAAAATGATTAAAGGTGGGAATATAAAGGGCTGCCTTTTCCCAGCAGAGAGAAGGGATGATGGCAACTCCTCAGGACAGGGAAAATCAGTCTGGGTTTGGAGTGAGGATTACA